CAGCTGGCCGTACATCGTTTATGCTCTGGCCATAGCCCAGTTTGATGGTTCCGTTCCGTTCCACCTGCACTTTCTGAGTCATCTGCAACACAGAGGCATGATGAACATCATACACACTGGGAACCACTTATACTGGACACTCCAAATAAAGAACACCTATCTATAAAAGACACATCGATGTGGTGCGAATCTGTGACTAAAAGACACCTCTGTTTAAGGCCAACTTTCATTGTCCAAGCTGCGGTTTATATAAAGGTATATATATATTTCCAGAAATGCCAGATGACTATGCTTCATTTGGCAATCGCGAAAGTAGATTAACAACATTCTACTGACTACATTGTAGCTGTATAGAGCCTATATAAAAGCACTCACGTCTTCCATAATCTGTGATGCCAGGGAATCAAATGGCTGTGTCACATGTCTGTTGGCCCAGGCACTGGTCTCAAAGAACTGGACACCATGTTGGTCAGCCAACTACACCCAAACACACACACACACAGTAACATGTGTCAACTACAAGGTGTATAGAAAGGCAAAGGCACAACAAACAAGTCAACTACACCTAGGACAGCTCTTTTTTTCCAAGGAAAAAAGCTGTGGTGGGATTCGAACCCACCACACTGTGCAGTCTGTACACATACTAACACAGGAGTGTAGGAGCCATCAGGAGAATAAGTGACATGAGGAAAAAAATGTAGAAGCTTAGGTGCTTTTACACTTCAGGCAGCAACAAGTCTTGAAGGCTTTCTACACATTACACTGCAGAGCTGTACTGTACCTTCTTCCCTCTCTTCTCAGACACCTCTCTCTGGTTCTCCAGGTCTATCTTGTTCCCTACCAACACAATCCTCACATTGTCCACTGCATTCTGTAGGGTCAGACACGCATGTATATACTACATACAGACTGTAACATTGCAATGCTATTAACGTTGCCTGTAGCGTATAGCATTGTGTGTCCACATGATGAAAGGGGAGATGAGTAATCTACTGATTTTTACAAGGCACCACCCACAAGGGAATTCACAGTGACCTCACTGACAGCAGTTGTGTACATAATGTCACATCCATCTCAACGTAGTGACCACATCATTCCACATGGTGGTCATGGGATACTACTACTGGCTACCAGTAGATCACACATATATAGACTGTAGTAGCTATACTAACCTCTTCTATATTTCTCAGCCACTTGGAGACATTGGTGAACGTTCTCTCTTTTGTCACGTCATACACCAACATTATCCCCTGATAAACGACACCATGACAACGAATGGTAGGAACATGAGACACACAAAACAAAAAGCCAGAATTAGTACCACTTTAGCTTGCTCCATATGTGCATGAACTTTGAATGTTGTAATATGAGCTTTACAGCATTGGACTGGACCTCAATTTACATTCCCAAACGAAAATATCAAATATTGAGCCAAGTTCATGCTCAACACAATGGCGGACTGACTCAGAGAGAACCGAAAATCGGACTAATCATTTGGTATGTACACCTTATAGAGGTAGCTAGTATATGTATATTATATACCTGTGCTCTTCTGTAGTACTGTGCTGTGAGTGTCTCAAACCTCTCCTGACCTGCTGTGTCCCTGTGTGTACATGTATCACATGGTCTAATACCTTCATCATGTGTGAAGATGTATGATTATAATATGTACTGTTATGTCATAATCCTCATAGAACTGCAGTATAGTGCTATGAATGATTCGAACAAAGAGCCACTCTGAATTACAGACAATGTATCGGAAGACGACTTGTGACCTCAAACATTGCATACAACTATGAAATTGCTTGCATTTCCTTGCTAAAATGTAGTTACATCAGATGCAATAATAATAGTGCATGTTGTACAGTAGTGTATCTATGTAATCTCGGTGCTCGTAAAAATAGTCTGCTGCGTAAGTGAAGTACATTAAAAAGGCACTTAAAACTCCTGAAGACATAAGCATGTAGTTTGCTTGTTCATAAAACGGGGTGACACAGGGCAGTCTACAACTACCAAACTTACGTGCATCTACTCAACAGTGGTCATCTACTCAAGTAAACAGCGTGATTGGATCTTGCATAACTCCAGATAGAAAGACCACTGTTCATAGACACCTTACAAATCTGAGCTCTATAATACCGTGCAGTGTGAGACCACCCAAAACCTGCTAAATCTCTTGCCCTGTGTCTTACAATGCCACGCTGCCACGTCGAGAGGATAGGATCAACTTCTATCTTTGGAACGACGGGGCAATGCGACGTACATTATGAACCCAGCCTTAGAGCTAATAGAAAGGCATATACATACATACACACATACCAGATCTGCATTCTTAGTCTCTTCCCATCGACATTGAGTGTCTTTAACTTGAAGTCAATTCCTACAAATCAGATTTGTAGTAGCATAATAGGAAAAGCAAAGTTGTGGAATAGTTTCCCACCTCCATATTATAGTGTGTAAACATGACTGTATCATGTATGGGCATGTGAATACTGACAGTACAGTACCACTGATCTACAATCCTGGGCAGATGTAATAGCCAAGCCCTTTCCCCTATAAGGAGCATGACGCAAACTCTCGCGGCAGATAATGACTGTAAAACACATCACTAGTCTCCAAGTGGTTGCCCTGACTTGGCCCTGTCGCTAGAGGTCAGGTCATTGACTGGCAGTGAGATGGCAAGTCACACACACAAATCCATATTATTATTACATACTCATGGCAGTGGTAGCAAAAGGAAAACCAGTTTTGGCTTCAAAACTGGGGAAGAGAATTTTACGTAGAGCTGAGAAAGAGAGTAACTATTAGACTGGAAACCACACAGTATATGAGAGGCAAGGGGATGGAATCTGCACATGCTGTAAGGAGGTTATAACTGTGATAATTATAAAGAGTGAATCTGTGTGTTTTGCTCTCTGAGTGTAGATAAAACAAAGTGGGACTTCTGGGGCCAGCACAGATCATGCACAAATGAAAAGCACTAAAGTGCAAACCCTCGGCGAAGTAGCTCGCAGAGAGTCTGACACGGGCTAGCTAGAGTAGTAGATAGCACGCGAGAGTCGATACACGCCATTCGTTGTGACTTCTTGTGCCTTCAAGATAGACAGAGCAAGCGGACCAGGTCGAGCATCTGTGCTAAATATAAGCGCATGCGCTTTATCCGTTAGCGATAAAATGGCGACTACGGCATTAGCCATACAATGCTGGAAGCGCTCTAGCTCTGGAACGGAGCATTTTCAGAGAAAACCCCACATATTTTCTGACCTTCGTCGCCCGTTGGGTAGATGGTATCGTTTCTGGGATGAACAGACATTCGAGAGGTGAGATGTAGAGTAACGGACAGACAGACCCAACTACCGTAACCCTCGCTGCGCATGTGCGCCGAGGGTTAAAAACTCCCCATGACAGCTATTTGAGTGCAGGTGTTCTGTGTTGACACAGAGAGAGATGAGAGGCTTCCTTTTTCTAACTTTCTATTGGTGGGTGAAGTCCCTCACTAGTCCAAGAACCACGCCTTCCTCATCCTCTTCCAGTGTCGGTCAAGAGCTCTCACTATTCCCACTACAGTCACTGTGGCCATTGATATGGGATCACACTCCAAGACTCTCTTATATACACCACTGGACTAGTCAGTGGCGGGCGAGTAATAGTATGAGGATCATTTACCACATCCTATGTATGTATGGCAGTTCTGTTATCTATTTTACCACATATAGGATGGACCACAGTGTAACTGGAAACATTTGGACAGACAAAGCATCTGATATTTCATCTACTAAAGCATGTCATGAGCAGCATATTACTATCGTATCTACTATATAGAGGATGCCATGGGCAGTATAATTATGCCCGTATCATTATTAATTATGCACACATACATGTACTATAGGAAGACAATAATTTGTATGCACGACTACTACACCTCACATGTGCACAGTACGGCTCAATACAAGGGCCACTGTTGCATTTCACAAGGACTCTGTTTTCATTCAGTGACACTTGTTTTGGCCCTTCAGCGAGCCTAGACACACACACACCACACAATTACTGTACATACTTTCACCAGCACTCATTGTCACTATGTTTGTGCAGTGAAGAACCACAGTACTAGGTAGAATGTAGGGGTCAAAAGAAAAGAAAGTGTGGGCATTTTTGAAAAGGTATGTGTTGCAATATGCATGTAGGAGGGGGAGGAAGAAGGAAGGGAATACCATGGCACATCAAAAAGGAAATAGCCCTAAAGCAGGAGGAAGTAGTGGTTACACTGCCTCCATACCAATGGTTGTGATGTGGGATTTTCTGACTTGTCCATCAGTGAACTGGGAGATGAGACAGGTCTTGCCCACTCCACTGTCCCCACACAGCAGGACCTTCACCAGACAGTCATAGTTACGGTCCATCTCCTCCTGTATTATTATACCACTGTGTGAACACACATCAGCTGGCTAGTCTACTACTTCTATACACAAATAAACAATGACTCAAGACTTCTCTATCCACACCTGTACTGTCGTAAAAAAGTTAACCCTTCACTGTATGACAGAAAGGCAGTGTACTGACTTAGCCGGCAACAAAACGGAACGAATGCTCACCAGAAATGCGTGCGTCACAACACTAGCTCTCAATACACCGCCCACGACGAGAGGCTAGCAGGGGAGCAATGCACACCCGTACAACAAAGCAAGACTCGAAACAAGACGACATCGAGGGCCACACGCGGACGACACCCGCCACAGGGTGATTGCCTATTACACAATCATACACAGCTAACTTAGTAGAAGTTAAGTTGTTTTCGAGTTATTAATACAGCGACAGAGTCACTCACCTCCTCTCTGTGTCTCCTCTCTCACTGGTCGCTCAGCTCTCGCTCGCGTGAGTTTCTCGTCTGATACAAATCCAAACCGCGCTCTTCGCGACATTTCTGCAGAGTCAGCAAATTCGTTTTGTGTGACGTCATGGTCACGCAAATAATTTGTGCTGAATCAGCAGGGTTTGAGTTGTCTTCCACCACCACCACTCACTGGCACGAGTGAGTAGCCTTGTCGTGTGGTAGTGCAGCAGATCACACATCCTACGAACACCGGTCAGGACGTGAGTGCGCATAATCCATTCCTGGGAAGGTGTTTTGCGCCGTAAACACTCCATGGGCTTGTTTTGTATGCATGGTGGGTGTGCTCGTCGGTGTCTGTGACACTTTGTCATACAAATTGTGCCGCAGGTAATGGCGGAGAGACGGCAGCCGTACGGCTACCGACCCATAGGCCACGCGCCCCGCGTGCTCAACGACAGTCTTCCTGAGAGGGAGAGGGAGAGGGCCCTCAACCACAGACAACACCAGAAGAGCATGAAATCCTACAAGGTCCGCTGCTGTATGTGGTGGGAGCCCTAGACTTCCGTCCTTTTGTCACTGCATTCGGCATGACTATGCACAAAAACTGCTGAATAGTTTATTGTATATATAGTACATGTGTCCCCACCAGAGACCCTCCCAGAGCCCATTGTGTTATTTGTGTTTTCTAGTCAGACTTATAAGTGACAGCATGTTGAGGCTTTTGGGCTTCTTTGTTCCTATTTGTGCTGTGTGTGATTGAGGAGAGGCTGTTGTGTCCATGTGTGCAGGTGTTAATGATAGGGGAGTCTGGAGTGGGCAAGTCTACACTGGTGGGGAGACTCTGCGAGGACAGGTTCATGCCTGAACATCGCCAGTACACACTCGGTAAGTCACTTCTCTCTTGTGAAAGACTTCTTCTAAGTAGTGTTCGGTGGCTCCAATAATAAAGCCCTATCTTTCTTTTCCATAACCCTATCCTTGATATAGGCACATTAGAGGAACCTTGTTTAGTAGCAACCTGTTTGCTGCACCAGTTTTAGTTTAGTCATGTTTGAGATTGCCACACCTTGTCGGTGATAAAGTAATACAGTATGTATATTCCGCTAGTTTTCTACAAACACACATAACTACACGACAGACATTGTTTATCATGCTCAGAATAGCTCAAGGCAAGGAACTTGCTTATTATACTGACGTAGTAAAAGGTAAAATCAGCCTAAGATAATGTGTGTAGTTAGTACACAGCAATTCTCCATACGTGGATGTACTTTTCCCCCATCAATACATGACCTATGAGAGGGTGACTATATTATAGTCTCTCCCCACGTTTTATGTTTAGGGCTAAAAGCATCCTCCTGTGTGTGTTACTGAATGTGAGGTTCCCACAAAGTGCCTAGTGGGTCGTGTGTTCTGTTAGTCCAAACATCTGGGATAAAATTTCCTGTTTAGGGGATTCATTCCCTGGCATAAACCTGTCTGAGTTTGGATAGTGTCTTTGCGTTGCAGCTGGGTGCGGCAAAGTTATAATGCATCATTGGCAAGCTTTTGAATTGCATGCACATTAAAAGTGTGATAGTGTCAGATTTTGGTCAGTGTAGGTGGGCTAGCTTTGCTCACCTATTATTCGAAGTATGGCATGCAACTCTATACATGTCTTTGTCAAAATGGCTCAGCTATTATTCTCTGGTGGCCCCACTGTGCGACAGTGAGCTTGTTTATGTACACATGGAGCTCCTAATGTACTGTATGTCCATTAGGTGTATTATGATGACATGCATTGCAGGTTGTGATATGTTTGAGAAAGAGGTGGAGATTGACAGCGAGAGAATCAAAGTATACCTGTGGTAGGTGATTCACTTTTCTCTTTCATTTCCTAGATGTGACTCTGCCAGCTGTATATATACATACATTGACAGTTTGTCTTATGCTGCATGTTCTTTGGGTATACCTACCTACTGTACCTAGTGTGTACACAATGTTGCATAACATGGAAACTGCCCCTGACTATGCGTCATGAATACTTTCATAGTAAAAGGTTGAAGTATGCATGAAATTATAGTTCATAGCATACCAGTCATAGGTATATAGATAGATGATAGATAAAAACCACCACCAACATATATCCACAGATCCCAAAATATCCATACATCCTTTGATTATATAGGCAGACAATAATATAGCAAGCCACCACACAGAGAGGGCAGAAATGAGCTATCATTACACCCACCGCCCCAGTTCTCAAGGCTGGGCACCTGGTGTCCTACCGTGTTGTGTGCCAAGACTGGGTGTGTGTTGTGTCTGTGGGTGGTGTGACCAGGATGTGTGGGTGGGGGTGACTCTGGTTTCTCTGTCTTTCTTTTCTAGTTCTCTGTGCTGAGTATGCTGTAACATATACTTTTCATGCTGCTTCTCACACTATGCTGTATTACACACATCATGTGTCACCTTACTGTTTTTCATATGGATTATTGATCAAATTGCCAGAGCAACAGTAGGTACGGAGACATTTGACTCCATCACCACCAGTCTACTAGAGGTGAGTGGAGCCGTAAGTCCTCTCATTATTCACGAGATCGTCATTATGACTAGATCGCTCCGGTACAACAGGGCATACTAGTAGTGTACTGAGAGTTCAATGCTGCAAATCTTCCACCAGCTCATCAAGTGGATCAACTATGTTCATGATTGTGAGTGACTAGTTATACAAATGAGAGTGGAACTGTGTTGCTAATTCATAGCTCACTGCATCATTGCTTAGTACAGCGTGATACACCTGCATGTAAAGGGACGTGTCTCTTTCGCTCCCTGGCATTGCTGTAATAAAACGCCACTTGCCCCTATGTATAATAGCATGGGACCGTGCAGATGTGTGTCTGATGCTGCTCTGGGTCAAGGTCGATCGGGCTAGCAGACGATGAAGTCACACGGAGGAGACAAAAGGTATATGTCAAGTTAACTTATGTACGACCTACATATGTTTGTGGAGGATATGCGGTCCCCCTTTACTTTCTCTTCATCTTACTTCTGGTCCCTGTTTAAATGCACTTTTATAATTCATTTAGAGTAATAGCAACTTTTCTCTGTTTAGTCCCCAAAGCATATCATGTTGCTAGTATCCACTGATGCAGTGAGGGTCATTAATCACACCACTCCCCCTCCCACTCAGTTTGCAGACCACCATGACATCACACATTCTATGAAGTGAAGTGCAAAGACAGGAGAGAATGTCACAGAGTCTTTGATGCCTTCTTCAGAGACATCCATAGAAAAGTCAGTCTACTTACAGAATAATAATATTATAATAATATGGCTGAAACCAATTTCCTACTTTCCTACTTGTTTGTCTGCAGGCCCAAGGGACATTGGTAAAAAGCACGGAAACACCGACATCCACAACACAAAAAAGTCATGCTGTTGATGCTGTACCCTTTTTATTTTGTACATTGTTTCCCTTACGTACAAAATTTCGCTCCACAAAGTTCAAGAATGCGTTGCGCACGCGCACCAGGTTCGGGGGCGTGTGTGTGGGGGTGGCATGCACGTCAAAGTTTACTTACTGTGGTCGAATGTGACGTTGTGCATGGCGACTACCTCTTCTTCCCAGTCGGAAGGTTCCCCGATCCCCCATGACCGGTGCGAACACCACCATACAGAGGAGCTGCGCTTCTACTGCCGTAGGTGCCGCGAGGCGGTTTGCCGCGACTGCATAGCCTTGGACCGCACCACTGTCTACTCCCTGTGATTACAAGCCATCAAGGACCTAGCGAGGATATGTCGCGAAGGCCTACGAATCTTTCACCAAACGACTAGACGACAAGAAAGCCGAAGGCCAGAGAAGCGGAGGAGTTGAGGCGATGCTTAGGGAAGATTCGCGCGAAGTATGAGGCCGAGCCGGGTATGTGACTTCTACGACAGGCTGATTCGAGAGCTCGAGAAAAGAAGCAAGAAAGCGATTCAGGAGATCGGGGAGGGAGGCGAGTCAGTTATTAGAGAACTCAGGGGCATGGCAGAAGGAGAGAAACGTGATCCGGTTTCTTTCCAGATACAGCGTGTACAGCAGAGTGTGGAGGGCCTAAGTGATAAGGAACTATCTGGCACAGAGCGATGCACTAACGCTGGAACAGAAATGTACAACTGAAGGCGCTACCAGTTGTTGGTCACGAGCAGCGTCTCATAAGATGGTCTCGTTGAGACGGTATTGGCGAAACTAGGCGTGACTTGCCTGAATATGCTACGATTGATCTGAAGCAGTCGGTCTTCAAGTGAAAAAAGGAGGTAGATGTCAACACTACTGCACATGTGTACGGCACCGCTGCGTGATTCTTCAGGCTTTCACCATGCTCAGTTGAACTAAAACCTGTCAGTGCAAAATGTTCCCTTTTGCTAGTGGTACAGAGTTCCACACCACTCGCTGCCTGAGGTGACACCCCTGTCATCATACCCGCGATTTGGCACGCTTTACACCTACACTGCATACTAGAGGTCGTACGAAGCTCACTGTGGAGTTAAACGGAGAGAGAATAGATGATGAACTTTGATCGCAATACGAGTCAGTGTCGGAGGAGAGCACCCTCCACCGCATCTGCGGGATCCACGTAAATGGAAACAAGTGACACATGTTCTAGGAGCGGCCATCACAAGTGCTGGTTCTCATGTATTTCGCCTCCTAGGAGGTCAGAGCGAAAGGAGGCCACTAGCTGAGGCATAACATTGATGGTGGAACTGTTACCAGGGCCGACACCTTAACACGTTAAGTTAGCCGCTGCATGTCGCCCACAAAGCTGGAGCCCAGTATGAGATTGCCATTGGAATAACTCCCTCCCTCTACGTCAGTGTCTCAATCGAGCAAGGTTCACCGCTCACCTCAGATGTGCACCTACATTGCGCTCTAAAATCTACCGGTAGCAAAGGTCCTAAAGAGGGGCATTCGCTCGTCCAAACGACTTTGCTTTGCGTCAGACAACTACTCTATGTATGTGACAGTGAAAACCACCGAATCCAGTTTTTTTGATCAGACCGCAGTTTGCCTGCATTTGGTGAATTGGGAACGGAGCGGTCTTGTGCTCCCGGGCGCTGGCCCAGCAATGTTGCCAGTAGTTCAGAGGGTGGGCGTGTCCTGTGTCGTGAGTCGAGCTGTACACCACCGGTGTCAGTGTGTCACCATCACACCGTGGACCACATTCGATTCATCTGAGTTCTGGGACTAAGAGCGAGGCAGCTGAGCAGACCCAACATTCTCCACATCCACATCCCCACCTGTATGTCTCAGATGACAGGGGAGTCGTCGTGTTCATCTGAGTGGGGAGTTTGTCACACGGTTTGCAACTGAGCTGTGGCAAAGTCGGAATATATCCCATCGAGGACTGACTGTCAGTAGCGATGGATTTGGTGTATGTCTATCATTCCCACAGAACAGAATATATCTGTACTAACACTTTGTTTGAATACATCATTACGCTATTGGCGAGTGAAATGATGTATAATGCACAGGTGGCATACGTGATTGTCAATATAACACTATGTGGTGGACAGCGCCAGCAGTACATAATGGAATATCCTGCATTAATGATAACACACAGTAGTTATGAAGTGTGATGATAAGGTTTGTGATGCTCGTGCATATTAGTTGCATAATCAAAATAGCTGATGTTGACAAAAACACCCGATGGAAATCATTTTTTTGAGAGGAGCTGATTATAGAGTCAATATTCACTCAGTCTTGTCCAACCAGCAGCCTGGAGCCCGTGCCTCAACTTGGCAAGACACCACGTATGAAGTTTCTTCACAACAAAAACCCAGTGAAGTGTGACTCCTATGATGTACACAAGGGGGATGAGTGTTGCAAGTGTTAGGAGAATAAGATGCATAACGAGGTCAAACACGTGATAGGGACCATATTCAAGTGCATTAACAAGGAGAGCTGAGCACCAAAGCAGCAAACTAAGCAGCAGCATCATATCTATCTTCAGGTGTATATGCTTTTTGTATGG